GCTGAAGAGAAACCTGGGGTTGTTCTTATTTTCTTCAATCAGTGATGAGTAGTAAGCTGTTCTGGCTTTGCGGAGGGCTTTCTTATAAAGCAGCAGACTATTTCTCCAGGCTAATCTCTTTGCAGGGACGGTGGAGAGCGCAGCAGACTCGTGAGATATTTCACAGAAACCTGAATGAACCAGAACTGCAGCCGATATCGTTCGGGTCACAGATTTAAGTTACAGAGGAAGCTTCCATCAGTTATCAGCGACACCACAGAGCGACTGGACACGAAGCCCGATTCTAGTGCGCTGTAGAATGGGAGGCTGGGATTTTGGACCCTTTCGCGTTCCTTTAGCGCGTACCGAGATGGCGTGTCAGTGCAGTTTTCGGTAAACGGGGTCACGGTCTGTCAGGAACTGCTGGTCTGAGTCAGTAAAAAACAGGAAATACAAAAATGAAGTACTCAAACTGTTGGTCTCTTAAGTATTTGTGCTTGTTAAGGTCTCCAAAAATAAGTCCTGGTACTCTACAGTCAGTCCAGTTTAAAGATTATCTACAGCCCCACCCACCCGCCACCCCAGACACACGGTATATAACGTGTACGCACACACAGACACTTGCATAAGAGCAAATGCGTCAGTCCGCCCTGCCCACAGATAAAATGCAAAAAGAGCACAAAAGGTATGAAAATGTAAGAAAAACTCATGAGGAAAAGCTTTATATATCGTATTTATAAAAAAAAAAAAGGAATAATACTTTGTTTTTCCGGAGGTTAAAGGGTTTGCAGTTAGCTACTGTCACTGCCCACGGCGCTGCTGCCGCCGTCACTGCTGGTGCTCGCCGTGTCCGCTCGCTCTCGCTTGTGGATCTGCTCGTGTGCTTTGAGGTGGCCCGACTGGCTGAAAGTCTTCCCGCACTGGGGGCAGGCGTACGGCCGCTCGCCCGTGTGGATCTGCTGGTGCGCCTTCAGGTGGCCGAGACGGCCGAAGCTCTTCCCGCACTGCGTGCAGCCGAACGGCCGCTCGCCCGTGTGGATCTTCTCGTGGGTTTTTAAGACGCCCGAGTTGCTGAAAGTCTTTCCGCACTGCGAGCAGGTGAAGGGCTTCTCGCCGGTGTGGATCTGGACGTGGTTGCGGTAGCTCGTCTCCTTGGTGAAGCTCTTGCCGCAGTGCTGGCAGCAGTACGGACGCTCGCCCGTGTGGCTCAGGTGGTGCGCCTTCAGCTCCTTGGACTGGCTGAAGCTCTTGCCGCAGGTGGTGCAGATGAACGGGCGCTCGCCGGTGTGCAGCCGCTGGTG